GCAACTTGCACACGGGCCCTCCGAGATTTTTCGCCCTTGTCCGAGAAGGCTGGGTGTAGATCTTTCCTACCAGATGATCAGGGGTGTGGCAGAAAGACAGCAGTTAGGAGGAGCCAAGGAGTAGCAGTAGAAAGGCTGCAGAAAGAGTCAGGAGCCCAGATGAGGGGGCAAAGGAGGTGAGGGGGTGGGGGCAGAAAGTGGAAACGAAAGCAGACAACAGAACATTGCTAGAGAGCTGGAAAAGAGGTGAAAGGAGAAAATTTTAGAGAATAACATTTTTTGGTCTTTACCAGGAGACCAAACACTACCGGTTGTGCATGTAAAATCAAAACATAGCTGGTGTTATGCTTTTTATCGTTTCTGTACACCTCCAATTATTGTTGCCTTAATTCTGATGAACATGGGCGTTAGGTTGTCACAATTTGCATAGTCGTGTATTTGAGTTTTTACTTATGATTGTAACATCTTCGGCTCATTTTAACAAAAGGCACATTGCTTGATAAAATTAGTAATGTGTGTGTGTGTGTATTACATATATATATATATGTGTGTGTGTGTGTGTGTGTGTGTGTGTGTGTGTGTGTGTGTGCTTATTGAATGAGAGACTAACACTGTAAGCTCAAGACCACGAGAGCCCCCGCCTCCAATAGTAACACGTAATTGTGGGAAGCAAGACTGACTAAACTACAAATTAACTCTGACAAAAACTTAAAAGAGAAAAATAGTAACATAGGCCACAGAACAGAGTTGCTCTTGTCTTACTCTTTTCACAGTTGTGAGAATGTAAATTCACCTGTGAAGTAAAAACAAACTCATAGACAGAAAACACATTTTTAAAGAAATCACTTACTACTCCAAAATGTGCAAACAGTTAATACACGTACATGTAGGTTTGGAACGTTCTTCTTCTTTCACTTTGACCTGCTGTTTCTATTTCCATCTATCAAATATTTTTCAATGTTTTGATTTGATTCAGCATTGCGCCTATTTTGTCAAGAGAAAATTTTCCTTTGTAACAAGAACCAGAGCACTCTAAGAGAGGAAAAGGTGGAGGTGGTGAGGAAAAGACGAGCAGCCTGGCGACCAATTCCTGTGTGATTCTTTGTTCATGAGGAACGCCATCAAAACAGATTCGCTACTGGGAATGTAATGAATAGCTGGAGTCAGGTGAGACTTCAGGAAAAAAATGTCCCACACGCAGAATAGAAGAATGTGCATCCTGGTCTTGCAAAGCTGTTTGTCAACACACGGCAATACATACACCGGCACGCATGACCGCACTTAAAAGTGGTGCAAAAATGAGGAGAAATTATAAAGCAGATTTTATACTGACACGTTGTGGGCTCTCCCTTTCCTGGAGGGGCAACAAGACCTGAACAGTGTCTAGACTTTTGTTCTGTAACGAAATAAACAGCTCATGCAGTCATGAGACAAAGACGGAAATAATCAAAAGCTATATATAAAATTATATGCACATGTGTGTGTGTGTGTGTATGTATGTATGTATGTGTGTATGTCTGTCTGTCTGTACTTAGGCAGTCTAAAAATAAACGCAATAGACCGTACGCTATTCTTTGCCAATATTATGTGAGCCCCGGAGCAATCCAGCGGAGTGCTCAAGTGAATTGTGATTGGTTCATTGTCTGTCTTGCCACTATTTTAAGTGACTCTGTGACCGTGAACCTGAGGGAGGTGAACGTGACCGTCCTATGAGTTGTGCCTTTGAATGGTTTTGTAGCGGAGTAGTGAAAGTTATTACTTGAGTGTTCAGTTCCAATACAGGATGAACGAAATTGATGTGTAGCTAACAAACAAATTTAGTACTAGAAACCAAACCCACACGTAAAAAAGAATGATAATAAAAGCACGAGGCTCTCCCTCACCAACACAAAGATCCTAAAATTATACACCGTCTCATTTACTATGCCCTTGACTATCTTCAGCGAGCAAGCGATAGCATTATAATATGTGCACGTCCACTTTTTAGCTCCACGAGCCGCCCCTGGTTGTTATGTATGCTTGTATATATATATATATTGATTTTGTTTAATGTTTCTCCTATTGCTAAAGCAGTTGAAAACATCTCTGTGTTGCTGATTTATTATTGTTATTATTCTGCCTTTCCTGTCCTGCTTCTTCGTGTTTGTTTGTTTTTTTAGTTTATTAAAAGTAGGTGATTTTACACCCCCTTCCTGTCTGTTCGGGCCAACCTGGGCTGAGAGAGATACTACATCACAGTAGAAAGACAGAGATACTAAACTGTTTTTTTAAAAAAGAAACGCAAAACCAAATTGGACACCATGTATTTATCGTATATAGCACTGAATATCTGTTGATATATATGAAGGAAAGAAAATACATTTTGAAATTTTAGTCATTGCTGTTTATTGATTATCAACAAAATTGAATTGATTTTGATCAATCAATTGAATGCTCCAATCTGTCCGTCCAAGGGCGGCCATTCATACTGGGTGTGGCCTCCTGCTGACTGGAGTACCGCTTGACATCTTCTAGGCATGGAGGCGATGAGACAACTAATGTTGGGGAGTGGTATTGCCCTCCACTCTTCATACAAGGCGGTAAACAGTTCATCAGGAGTGGCAGGGGCGACAACTCTGTTCCGGAGACGTCTGTCCAAAACATCCCAAATGGGCTCTATAGCGTTCATATTTGGTGAGTTTGAACGAATTACTCTGGCAGTATGCGGTCTGGCATTGTCCTGCTGGAAGATTGCCCCTGGTTGTTGAAGCAATGGAAGGGCATGTGGTAGGAGGACGTTGTTGATGTAGGCCTGGGCTGCCAGATTACCTTGTACTCTCACCAGGTTGCTCCTGCCAATGTGGTTGATTGCTCCCCACACCATCACACTGCCAACCCCATGCAATAAGGCCAGGGAGATGCATCCAGTCGAGAACCTCTCATTTCAATGTCGGTATACTCGACGTCGTCTGTTGTGTCGAGAGATGAGAAAATTGGATTCATTACTGAACCATACGTGCCGACAGTTCTGTAGCTTCCAGTTGACGTGGTAAGTGGCCCATTGTGGTCGCTGTTGGCGATGCCAGTCCGTCAACAATGTCCATAAAGGTCGATATGCACGGAGCCCTCTTTCTCGGAGTCGGTTGCGTACTGTCTAGTCGGAAATTTTGATGACATTTCGAAGCGCTTGGACCATTGAAGAGGCAGGCACAAAACGATCCCGCGGGTGATGAAGCTGAATAAAGCGATCCTGGGCTTGAGTTGTTGCCCTTGGCCGTCCACTTCTCGGTTGATCGGCAGTGTAGTTGGACTGTTGAAACCTTGCAAAAAGTCAGCTGATGGTAGACTGTGACACGTTGAAATGTGTGGCAACATCAGTTTAACTTTCTCCGGCTTGCAAACGTCCAATAGCCTGGTTTCACTCTTCTATCGTTAGTCATGGCATGGCGTATCTCTGAACTGACAAGTGATGAAACCATTTTTTTCACCCATTATAGAACCACCCAGAGAATGAAATCACACGCCAAATTTCGTGCGACTACTCACAAAATTAGAAAAGTTGTGAGCTTTTTAACACTCAATTATCACACAATTCAACAGTTTAGGCTGTGCCTACCTGTGACTGTGAGTAAACAATGAAATTTGTTGTGAAAAGTTCAAGATTTGTGTGAAAAAAAACTAGCATGGACAAAACCTCATCTTTACATATTTTATTAGCACGAAAACACATGCACTTGGTTATGCATTTCTTTTTTTGCCGATAACAATTTTCTCCCCTCTTGGGAATCAACACTAGATCTAGATCTCCTGCTTATGAAAGCGAAGCTCTTACCGCTACACCACAGACGCTGGTTCTCTTCCTCTGTATCCATCTGATCTTTGGTTGTATGCTCTTTCATTGGATGCATCACTTTTTGCTGATCTATAGAATGTATACTTTTGCTCAAGACTGTTGGCATTTGGGAATTTAGATTCAAATCACTAAAGTCAGGCACGAATAATTTAAATATCGGGGTATGACAAACGTCTTTGACACATATCCATAATTTAGGTTAAGGGCTAACGGTGATGAAAAACTGAAGAGATATCAGTCATCGAATAGCAATTTGTACGAGCTATTCATGATTTTCAGTTTTCATTGTTCGTATTTTCCGTGCCCAACTACATTCATTTTTTTGGAGTGAAGTATGATTTTTTAAAAATAAAATGGATTTATTGTTGCTTTTTTTACAGTTGTTTAGAAGCGCCTAGTCGTGCTGATTAAGAAAATATATATATACTTTTGTACACTTTTAACTTAAAACATATGTCACTTTTAAGTCAAAATCTGTTGCGGGTTTCATCAAGGGCGGCCATATTTGGTCACATGACTTTGCATATTACGTAACACATTGTTGATCATGTAAACCATTACATATAACCTTTCTGGAAATGAATGATTGTCATATGTTTTGCAGGCAACGTTTTCTTTGAATTAAGGAAAACTGTTACTAAGTTGTCTTTCTCATGCCTCATTTTGGCACATTTAGATTTTGGTGCCATCCTCTTGTCTTTAAGTAATTACTGATCCCCGAAAAATGCCCAAATTCACAACAAAAGACTTGCATAACTTTTGAACCGTTTATCCAATCTTCATGCTGTTTTTTTTTTAATTTTTCTCAGCTCATATAAATCTAGGTGGCTCTATCAAGATCTAGTGACATGTATTTTGGTCAAATTAATCGTTTTAAAATTTTTTCGTGAAACCCCCAAGGACGGAGTCGGGCGATCAGCCTGATCCAGCCGTAGTGGGCACCCCATATTTATTATAAGACAAAGAAGGTGCTGAGTGGTGAAGAGTTCTTTTATGTGTGCTAAATCATGTGAAAAGTGACGTCATGATGATTGTCAGATTGAATCTCATTAATAGGGGGTGCCCACATACGCGATCGGGTCGGGTCGGGTCCATCGGGTAGTCCCGGCTAGCCAAATTGAGGGCGCAAAGCGGCCATCGTGGCACAAACCGATCGACACGATCGGTGACATACAAAAACAAACGCGTTTGTTTTCTGGCCTGCGAATCGCGCGATCGGGTGGTTTGCAGCCAATCACAACAAGGCTGAGTCACGTGTCCATTTTGACCCATGAATACATTAAGTAATACTCTGGCCTCGATTCGACTCATTTTGGAAGGAAATTTGCATCTTTAAGTACATTTTTGCTTCTTCATTGCACTTTACATGATCAATAAAGTTGTATCTCATTGTTGTACATTTAGCAGATTTGTGCTGAAAAACAGCAGAAAAACTGAAATCAAAGCACTTGACTTAGATCTAGATCTAGATTATTTCGTTCTCAGGAGGGCTAAAAATAGGCCATGTTAGACCAAGAATCTAGCCCAAGACGGTCTTAGTCCGTCTTGGATCTAGCTAAGGACGTGTATAGATCTACGTTCTCTAATGTTTAGTGCTTCCAATTTTCCGCCAATTTTTAGTTTTCTCCAGACCTTATCTACAGGTCCACTAGATCTAGGCCTACATCTCGATTTATTATGTCGCTTTGTCTTTCCTGAAACAGTACTGTAAATATGAAGCTTAATCTACCCTTCGCTGATGAAAGTTCTGATGGCCGAGTGAACAGTGTGTCTGCGTTTGGAACGGAAATATTATTTTGTGAGCGTGGGTTCGAATCCCAGTCCCTGCTTTCCCCCCCCCCCCCCCCCCTTCTTCTCATCCTCCCAATTTACCAACAATTTTTCCCATAATTATAATGTGTTGCTTTTTAGTCTTTTAAAGTGGTAAATAAATCGCCAGTGCTGTCTGTTGTTCTCGTAATCATAACACACTGGGCTAAAAATAGGTTTAACTGGTCTGATGTCGATGGACGCGGATCTTTTTGAGTCGCTTCTACACCTCGTACATTAGCCTGGCCTGGAAATGATCTTATTTTGGTGGACGCGGAGACTAAAGCAAGTTAGAAAGCAAGCAAGCACTCACGAACACACACACACACGCACATACACACACACACAATCCAAGAGTACGGCGGGCGTATTTTATGTATTCAGGGGTCAAAGGTCCAGCCAATCGTAGCCCGGGTTTACGCCCTCTGTGTAGTCGCATGTAGGTTAAAGGTTTCTCTACTTTAACTTCCAGGTCGTCGAGTACAATCGCGGCGGGGCTGTAGTGTGCACTGAAACCCCGACCTGATAGGCCCGACCAGACTCAACCCGACCCGAGCGCGTATGTGGGCACCCCAGACCATCAATGATTTATTTATAGGCACCAGCCATCCATGTCCAGGTGCTGTTTTTGCCTATGTGGGCACCCCCTATTAGATTACGATGTGACTATTCGGACTCGAATCTGTTAGACAAAAATTATACGCGGACTCTGAATTGAGTCCAGCATGATGTTCGTTCCGACTTCCGACCTTTGTTCCTAAATATTTCCCCAACATTTATTATTTTTAAAATTTTTATTTTAATATGATAAATTGAGTTGAGTCCGAATAGAGAGATAAAAAATCTGGTATTTTTTTACTTTCCCTCCCGTCTCACACTCAGCTACCAGTTGTCTATTTTCTACTAAATATTGATGCGCTGAACACAAATATCAACTTCATTTCCGTCGCAAATTAATGGTTTTTGAAATATTTGATTGTTTTTAACCGAGATAGACATGCTTTGGACCAATCGGGGGGTTCCAGGGGGGCCTGCCCCACTGGGGTAAAAGAAAATCGGGGGGGTTACAGGGGGGCATGCACCCCTGTTTTTACACCCATAATTTGATATTTTACAGTTAGATTTGAAATTGTCTTGAAAATAATTGATTTGCGACAGTTTTAGTGGCTTTTTTACGTGTGATCTGCAGCAAACAGTACAGCAGTTTGACCCCTGAAACAGTGCATCTGTGTGCGGGAGTGAAAGTAAAAATTTACCAAAAATCTAATCAGACTCGAGTCCAGAGCTGGCCTTAAGATAAATAAATCCAAGATAAAAATTTGGGGGAAGGGCTCACCTTTCATTTTTGCCTGGTGCAGGGAGCATGCTGTGACAGAGATCTTCTTCTGACGGTCCCAACTCCAAACCTTCAATGGCTTTGTCGGGGACTCCGCTTTAACTTTAGCCTTAACTTCTGGTGTCCCTTGCCCTTGCAGTTCTCGCCTTTCTGCTGCCCAATCCAATGGCGATCTAGATCTAGATCTACTTCCATAACTCCCACTGTGGGCGAGTTCTTCACATTCATAGAATCCAACACCAACGCTGTCAGTAGTGTCAGTGTCAGACGTCTGAGACCATCTCGAAATCATTTTGACCATTTTCAGTAGATCTCTGACTAGATCTAGAGTAGGATGTACGGCATACCGTCACCTTAGTGTTTTGTGATGACTATTTCCGGAAGTGAACTTTTGTATTACCATAACTTCGGCTCTTTCAAAAACATTGACCCAAAATTTCGTTTTGTTGAGAGGCCAGCCTTTCCTGTAGGTGTGAGGTGAAGATTTTAGTCAGATAGTGTATTAAGCATGGGCGAAGTCAAGTCGAGATTCGGAATTCGACGAATTCGTGGGGTCTGAGTCGGAGATCGAACATTGGGCAGGAGGACGAGTCCGAACACGAATTCCCGAACTAGGGCAGCCAAGGGGAAAATAGATCACGAGGAGCGAAAACATATTTAATTTGTTAAAAACTGAATAATTTTACGCAAAACTGCACCCAAGAAACATTTTTGAACGCTCAAAAGTTAGATTTGAATGAATAAAAATGCATAAGTTTGAAAAGTATCATAAAACACGATGTCTTATTTCTATTTTCCCCTCGCTGTGTTCAGCAGGAAGCAGCGAGTTCGAATTGGACCGTCCCACGATTCCATCGACTCAATGAAAGTCACATGAGCTTTTAGAACGCGCTGATTTGCTAGCAGTTACAAATCCCTTCTGCTGGTGGTTATGCCCTAAGAGGCCAAGGTCAAATTTACGCACTACGGTGACGGACGAGCATTGCGTCTCTGATTGCACCAATCACAATTGCAAGCCATCTTCACGTCAAATTCAAATCCCGTGATTATCCCAACCTCCTTCTTTCTTTGGCTTTCACTACGATCACACACATTTCACTACTTTTCTTCTCTTCATTGTACTATCTACATGTATTTTCTTACGACCTGTCTGGCACTTACATTTACATTGTCACATTTCTCGTCATTACTCCATGTTTGTTTTCAACCTTGTATGTTTCATCTTGTCATAATAAATGTTGATTATGATATAAATCTAGATCTAGATCTATTACTGTTATTTTTTATAGACTTCTGTCTTGCTGACTGTTGCTTTGATTTGCATGGTCTGACTTTAGAGTTCGAGACTGCGGGATTTTATGCTTTGATTTTTATTATGACCTGTTTGCATCCATTATCCTCGCACATGAATGCGGCTGTACTGTCAACGAGGGGCAAATAACTTTCAAAACAAACTGGTGCCCTCCCCTGATGTCAATGAAAACATTGCCTGCCTCAATCCCGACCTCTGTGACCTCTTCCCTGCTCCTTCCCCCTCCCCCCTCCCCGCCCCCTTCGTCTACACTGGTCCGTGGAGTCGGGATTCTCTACAGCGTGTTCGACTCGACGGCTGTAGGGAGAACGACTTGACTTGACACGAATCCCACCGAATTGACCTTGCCTCTCCTCAAATTTGATTGGCTGCTATCTTGACCTGAATTCGAATTCGGAGTCGAAGTCGACGAATTCGCGCCCAAAAATGTTCGGAGTCGAAAGTTCGGAAGTTCTCGGAGTCGGCCCACCCTTATAGTGTATAAAGAAGACCCCTAACCGAGACTTGACACATGTCCTGACATGTACCCCATATCGTCACGTGTCGGGTTTTCTGTCATGGTATGTACTCCATACCGTCACCCACTACACCCCATACCATCACACCCAAATTGAAGTACAACTAGGCGTTTGAAAAAAGGAAAGAAGGAAAGACGAACTCCTTTTGTACAGTGGGCCTAAGAGTACTAAGACAGAACTAATGTTTATTGACATACTAAAAAGAACAACCACCAAAACAGACACACATACATCTTACTCACACATAGATCTAGATATCTAGACATGAATGTTTCATTTTACTCTTCCAGACATATCACAAACTCATATGAACATCTCCCTCACACACAGGTACATGAAGGCTTCATTTTACTCTTCCTCACATATCACAACAAACTCACTTGAACATCTTTTACTCACACACAAGCTCTTGAATGCTTCATTTTACTCTTACACACATATCACAAACTCATATGAACATCTTCCTCACACAAAGGTACATGAATGCTTCATTTTACTCTTCCCCACATATATCACAACAAACTCACTTGAACCAGATTCGTTTAAAATCGCTCTTGTAAAACCGTTGCTAAAGAAGCAAAACTTAGATCAGAATGTCTTAAAGAACTATAGACCTGTTTCAAATCTACCTTTTTTGTCTAAAATCCTTGAAAAGGTTGTCCCCGAGCAGCTTCGTCATCACTTACAAGAAAACAATCTGTTAGAGCCATTCCAGTCTGCCTATCGAGCTAACCACAGCACAGAAACAGCACTTCTTAAAGTCATGATCTCGAATGACATGCTTACTGATTGTGATTCAGGAAAAGTTGTTTTGCTGAGCCTTTTAGATCTATCAGCAGCTTTTGATACATATTGACCATCACATTTTATTGAAGCGATTAGAAGTGTCTTTTGGAATATCCGGGACTGCCCTTAGCTGGTTTTCTTCTTACCTGTCAAATCGTTACCAATCTGTTGTTATTAAAGGGCTTAAGTCATCAGATCATGCTCTTAAGTATGGGGTCCCCCAGGGCTCAGTCCTCGGTCCAGTTTTGTTCACCATTTATACTCCACCACTTGTCAAGTAAATAGTTAAATGTGACTTAAAATACCATTTCTATGCTGATGATACCCAAATTTATGGTTCAACATTGTTTACCAACTTAGATGAACTTGTCCATCGTGCTGAAAATTGTATTGCCTTAGTGAAAAACCGGATGAACAAATATAAATTGATGTTAAATGATGATAAAAGAGAAGTCATTCTGGCAGGCAATGCAAAGTCTGTTAAAGAGGTTGACCATGATCACATTAAAATTGGTGATGCAAAAATTTTATTTTCAAGAAAAGTTAAGAATCTTGGAATCTATTTTGATTCTTATTTGTCAATGTCGGCTGAGGTAAATCATCTGATCAGCTGCATGTATTTAGAAATAAGAAAAATTAATAAAATACGTCATCTGATCAATACCAAGTATACTGCTTTACTAGTAACTAGCTTAATTTTATCTTAACTCGACTATTGTAACTCCTTGTTATCAGGAATATCACTGGAGAAAGTTAAAAAACTTCAAACTGTCCAAAACAATGCAGCACGTTTAGTTTTACGGAAAAGAAAGCGAGACTCTGCTAAACCTCTTTTACGAACTTTGCATTGGCTTCCTGTTGAGAAAAGGATTGTGTACAAGTTGGCCACCATATGTCACAAATGTTTGAATGATAATGCACCATCATATTTATCAAATCTGTTAAGACTGTACATTCCAACTCGCAGTTTAAGGTCATCAGCTGACAAAAAGAAATTTATTTTACCATCTATGAAACTTAAAACAATGGGTGAAAGGGCATTTGAATACCAAGGCCCCAAGATCTGGAATGCTTTACCAAGTACGTTGAGAGAAATCAAATCTTTTGATTCATTCAAAGGTCAGCTGAAGTCGTTTCTGTTTTTAAATTAATAAGATGAATATTTGGAATAATTTTCTTTAGTCGGGAACACAACGTTTCATGTTACTGCTGTATGTTGTACTGTATTGTAAAGCGCTCAGAGCCTGTGTACTTTATTAGGGGTTGAGCGCTATATATAAATGTCATTTATTATTATTATTATTAACATCTTTTACTCACACACAAGTACTTGAATGCTTCATTTTACTCTTCCAACATGTATCACAACAAACTCACATGAACATCTTACTCGCACACATACATGAATTTCCCTGTTTTTTCTTCTTCTTCTTCCCTGTTCTCTGCTTCTCCAACTTCGTTACTTTTTCTCCTCTTTTCTCTTCTTCCTTCTCCACCCTTTTCTCTCCCTTTCTCTCTTCCTCTTTTCCACTTCTTCCTTTTTCTTTTCTTCTTCCAATTTCTTCGCCTCCTCCCATGCTTTGTACTTTGCCCGTAAGACATGTATGTAGGGGCCTTAGCCTGCTTCTCTGTGTTGAAACCTTAGATAGTTCCAGCTTGCTGGTATGGGCAGGTTGACGACGAGGGGGCAGGAATGAGTTGATTTTACAAATCAAGGTATTTTTTGTATGCCCCCTCGTTCTCCTTAGGTTCGATTTTGTGCCAATGGCAACGGCGGACCCAATGCATGTCTGTGGCAATGGCGTAATCAATTAGACTGTCAAGGACAAAGCAAAAGTGTTGTCCTGAGGCAGTTTTTGGGGGGCTTGGGGTGTCACCAGAGTTTCATCTTCCAATGGTCTCAATGCCTGCTCAGGTAGACAATAGACATAGTCCTGGTTGTCCACAGGATCCTGAGCTGGGGTCAAAACCAAAGGTAGCTGAAACTCTGCTGCAGGATCCAGGAAGTCCTCGGAGGTACATTCGATCCCCGAGAATTCCAGACCTGTGGTCGAAAAGTCTAGGGCATCAACTGACCACTCACAACTAGAGACAAGGGCAGTTGGGGGAGGGCCAGCAAGTTTTTCTTCTGAAACAGAAGCAGTAGGAGCAGGAACAATATCACAACATGAGGAAACAGTGGCTGGAAGAACATCATCACAACATGTGTATACATTGGACAGAGGAACATCATCATCATCATTACATACAACGGGATAGAGTTTCCTTCATATAAATTTGTTTCAAACATTAAAAAAGAACAATCTAAAGTCGCTCATTTTCTAATGAATCCGTGTCTAAATAGATCTATCTAGATCTATATCAAATCATAGAAACTAAAAAATCTAAAGTACTAAGATGCCATCCATAGTCCGTCAAGAAATAGGGTGACCTTATTTAGGCCTAAATAAGCAAAAAAACCTCCCTTACCTTATTTAGGCCATATGTGGCCTAAATAAGCACTCCCCAAGAAATAACTATTTTTCAAGTCACGCACCATGTAAAAAATACGGTGACGGTATGGGGTACATCCATTAAAAAATTGTACCCCATATGGTCACCCCCCCTACGGGCGCCAATTGTTACAACAAAGAGCAGCGAATGGTTTGTGGCGGTAACTAGACACCTTATAAACTGAATAAAAATGCGAAACGAATCCTGCGGGTACGATTGTAGAACCAATAGCTTATTTCCAAAGATGTATTGCGCATCTGCAAGCCGTAATGGCTGAACGCGGTTCTTACATTTGGAGATGAAATGGATCATTTCTGCTCACACAGGTGTCTGATTCTGCTCAAAATTGTTGAACTTGAAAACAAAACAATGTTGAACGGAATTGTTTAGCAGACAGCATTCCAGATTATCGCATAATTGTCTGGTTGTCCAATTTTAGGCCAAATGCGTGCCAACTGACAGTATGACGTACGTGACGGTATGCCGTACATAGGCTATAGATCTAAATCTAGATCTAAAAGAATCTAAGATCTAGAGAAATCTTCTACATTAGATCTCTAGATTGACAATGCTAGGCTAGATCTAAATCTAGACACTAATCTTTGTTTCTGGACTTACAAGTCGACAAACTAAACATACTAACTAAACAAGGATACAAATCGTGCGTTTCAGTTTCAGTGTCAGTTTCCCTTTCGGAATCCTGAAACCTTTTATTTGTAGCGAAGTGATTATTCGGACTCGAATATGAAAAAATGTTATTCGGACTCTGATTCTTGTCCAGCATGACATCACTTCCGACTTCCTGTGACTCGTGAATCCGGCTTCCTGTCTTGCCTCACTCGTGACTCGCCTCAGGCAGGGTAGAGACCGGGATCACTTCGGGCAAAAAGGCGTTTTGTGCAGGAGCCGAGTTTTAATCTTATGATGAATTTGAGGCCGGCCTGAAAAGTTATAGCGCTTCTAATAAATGTTTATTTGTCAAGAGGTCATCAGAAGCAATTAAAGATGGCTCGTTAGCGTGTGTCGGGGTCGAATGGGCGGCCTGCACACGTGTGGCTGTGTGCGTGTCGGGGAGGGTGGTTGGGGGGGGGGGGCACTATTGGTCCGGGCGTTGTACGTCGCATACGCGTCAGTCCCCCCCCCCCCCCCCCCGGCAACTGATCATTATTACAATAATAAGCTAGTCTTGACGTAGATCTACGTAATGAATTGTGCGCTGGTCTATGGAATCAAAAGTTGCCGTATGCTCAGCTCTACACGGCAACACAACTTTTTCTTGGTAAACAATCGATATGACACAGGCTTGTGTATTTGAACGAATCGGTCTTCTTTTTTTTTTTTACACAGCTCATAATATTATGCAGGTGCCAGGTGGTCTGCTAATCTTCAATTTTACCTTTTTCTACAACAAAGAAAGTGGGAAACGTGGGGGGGGGCGTATCAATGAGGCGGCGGGCATTGGATCGGCAGATAAGGTGTGGGGGAAACTAAAAAATGGCGGAAAATTGGAAGCACTGAACGTTAGATCTATAGAACGAAGACACTTCCTTTTTTCCGGACCCGAGTCCGAATAACGACGACCTTTTTGTAGACTCTATTACTAGCCTATCTTTGTTGGCTGTTGTTATTGCAGTCAGTGTATTTCCCAGACGGCAGGGAAATCTCGACATGGAAAGTTTACTTTTTTTTTAGACTACTCCTCTTTATTGGAGCTAGATCTAGATCTAGATTTAGACTAGATAGATCTAAATCGTTCGATCTCACTCAGTAAAATTTGTTTACTTTTTTCACTTAATAAAGCATCAAGGTTTTTGGTCAATGTGGTCCTAAAATTAACAGCTTATTAACTTTTACGCAATAAAATCTAATGAAGGGAAATGGGGTAAGAAGGAGAATTGAGTCGTCAGTTCAGTAGACAGTGAACGGAGTCGCGCGATTAAATCGAACAATATTTGTACAAATATACCTAGAAGTCTATTTGTAATTAGAACTATTTACACGAACACAATCCAATTTTTGTTTTTAGGTAGCAGACAAACCAAAACAATACTTGAAAAAAAATATGTGTAAGAAATGCATAACCCAAAGAAACATGTATATATAGGCTATGCACTAGATCTAAGATTGCATAAATCATTTCAGAAGCTTTCATCTTTGTTTCACCGTTTTTCTGTAGGCCTAGATCTAGAATCTTGCAAAAAATCTGAAGCGGTCTCAATTCTCCTTCAATTCAGGGGCAGTCACCCTTGAAAAGAAAACGACGGAACTGAAGGAGAAAGAGTTCAAAGGTCTTGAGGTCTTGGCTTCCACTTCCAAAGATTAAGTTAGGCCTATTTCATGACGAAGAAAAAATCTCAGAGAATCGAAACGATTTGAGTTCAAATTCAAGGCCTATGGCTGAAACCAACAACCGAACTGTCCCAAGACAGATGCCTTTCATTGCTTTTACTGTGTAGTCTGTGAAGCCCACAGTCTCATCGTAATTTAGTTAAGAGACATTATTTTGAGTGCCACACCACTGCCATCGTTCTCAACTTGTTGAAAGAGTTCTTGAGTCTTGTAGTTGTAGACAGTCAAGATCAGAATCAGACCCTAGAGTAGGCTAGAGAGAGAGTGATCTAACCTAGACATCTAGATTCGAGATCTAGATCTAAATCAAGTGTAGTTTTGTGAGCACATAAAAAGAAAAGAAAACCCAAACAGAAGACAAAAAGTCAAGTGAGGCTCAATTTCGACAGCTGAGCCTACAATGGATCAAGATTCACGAGAGTCGAGTCTCAATGACAGCACAACTAACAGTGATGGAGATAAACAAATTCTTGCACCATCAGAGGGACCGAGGGAACATCTGGTAAGTCGTTGCCATTGTCAATAGTCCCAAATTTTGGGCTTGGGGATAGAGGGGGCTCTCTTCGGGAGAAGTATTCCCGGGCTAACTCCATAGACAAGACATGTACAGGTACACAATCGTAAACAAAAACAGAAGTCACCTAAAAAAGAGGAGGTGCAGGGTGGGTCACCGCACCTGCTAAATTCGCATAAATAATGGTTTGTGACAGTTTTTAATGCAAAATTGTTCTCAGCACGCAAAACCCTAGGAAGTGCCTATTTGGCAACGCCACATTGCGAATTATCTTAGCGTCTTAGCGCCAGTGCTAAATAAAACGCCATATGTGTTAAATTAAATATCAAGCTTAATTAATCTACCTTATTTTGTTAGAAGTTCAGATTGCCGAATGGACAGCGCGTCTGTGTTTGAAGTCAAAGTCAAACCATTATTTTATGAGTGTGGGAACGAATCCCGATCCTGGAAGGTTTTTTGGGGGGTTTTTTCCTCTCTCCTCTTCCCGACTATCCAACAATTTTTTTCCATAATTATACTTGTTGCTTTGTAGTTTTTTATTAGGGATGAAGCATGCACATTCTGGTTTTGTCCCCCAAGAGGAGCTTTTACAGGTCTACAAAGTAGGCCTCTATTAAATACTTTTCCTTTTACCAATTTAGGCCTATTTAAAGTTCAACAGTGGCTTTCCTCGGTCTGCGAGTCTTTTTTGTTGTTGTTTAGGCTCAGGAGAAGAAGAAGAAACCTTCCAGGACCGGGATTCGGTGCTATTCTCAGAAGCACTGAACATTTAGATTACATAGACACAGCTTGTATACACACACGTTCTCTAGGCCTAACGTTAGAGAACGTAGACACTACTCTGCTAATTAAAACACCGAAACCTAGATCAGGCGACGTCATGTGTGATGGCAAAATATAAAGTGCATGCAGAGATAATATTAGGTATTGTACAGTGCTTCCACTCTTCTGTATTTTTACGGAAATCCATACTTTCTGCCAGTTCCGTACTTGTTCTTCCATCATTATCAACTCCCTCCGTAAAAATCTGCGACAGCGTAGGACTACTGAAATTCCATAGCAAAAGATCCGTACTCACCTTCATATATCGTCTTGTTTATAAGTTACGGATATTTACGGTAATTCTCTTGACAAAAGTATGTTAGATTGCTGTTGAGCGGGGATTTGCGCTCTATACAAAAATACTCTATTATTATTATTATTATTATTATTATTATAGAAACCTGCCATATTGCGCATTTCCTGCCATCAGCCATTATTCCGCTATGCCCCATGCATTTATTGCGTGTTGGTCGGCAGTACATTTTTTTATCTGCAGATTGATCAAAATCTGGCGAACTTTTTGTGCCACTTTCCTCCTTTCTATCATTCCCTCATTCCATCTGTCTATCTTCGGATTGTTGCTGCGGCTGGAAAATCTGCGCGTAGATCAAGTATATTGACTTGTGATCTTAGACAGAAAATTACTTTCAGAAAGAAACTTGTTTGCAAATTTATTGTCTAGATCTACAGAAATTATCAGTGCGAAGATTCTACGGCATGGGAACGCGATAAGGGCCGCTATGAAAGAAGTGTGTGCTAAAACTAATAAAAATCAAGAATAATTCAAAGTGGTGTTCCGAGATTGTGACATGCGACCTTCAGACGTCAAAGTTGAGGAAAATTAGGGTATACATTGGGTAACCCGCCTGTATAGTGAAGGTACATATATTCTATTCATTATTCCCAGGTTTGCCTTCTATCAATGGTGCGATCCCAAATTAATTTAATTATAGTAGCAATCGAAGGGGAACCTGCTTTTAAACATTGCCAGCAATGGAAAGATATCATGTAGATGAAGAAATCAGACAAAAGACAAAATCTTGGTGGAAAAAATAGGCAGTTTGGGTTGTTGGCAACCTCTACAAATAGGCTCCCAAATGCCATTTTCAACCCTCTAAAAGTACTAAATTTCAATTTGTTAAACAAAACAAACTTTTTCTTTTACAGATAAGTACTGCTGTGAAATTTCTGCAAAATCCAAAAGTCATGTCAAGTCCACTCTACCAGAAGAAAGCTTTTCTGGAAAAAAAGGGTAAGTTTTTACCATATACAGTCGAACCTGCCCTGACGGCCACCTCTATAAGACAGCCACCTGTACAAACGGCCACTTTCTTTTTCCCCCCTTGCGTTTTTTCTCTATAATTTAACTGTGTAAAACGGGCACCTGTCCAACGTGGCCGCGGCCACCATATTTTAACGCACAATCCCTATGACACTACTAAGCAATAACACCTGTCTTAGACGGCCACCTTAGTGACTCCATTACGTTTTGTCATAAATTGTGCACTGGCCCCTGGCGTTGTGGGCGAGCCGTCATAATCCAGTCACTTGTTGTTAGGTAGTCCCTCCAACCAATCATGTTGCGTAGGCCCCTCCCACTGTTGACCAATAGGTACCAATTTTCAGCTGCTGGTGAGGTAAGCATGTGATCCCTCATAATCCATAAGCCCCGCCCAGAACTCATACTCAAATCGTAAGTGAGATGAGAAGTCACTGTTTACCCAATCTCTAACAAAGTAACAATGGACGTCAACATGAATTTGTAACAGAAGCGTCGCTTGTTGTCCGAGTGGTGTAGACCCATGTGTTTGTTTTAACATGGCACTCGGTCTTCCTTGTTCGATACATTTCGTTTTATTGTCACCCTTGTGTTAAATCAGCAACAAAATAAAAATAACAAACAAAATACTAACCAATAACAACAAAAACAACAACAATGCGGCTACTTTCGATTTGGACTTCAGATGGGAATGGTTTGTTTTCTTCATCTTGATCAGTCCTGCCTAAGATGGCCACCTGTCTTATACGGCCACTTTTCTCCTTGACAATGGGTGGCCGTCTTACACAGGTTTGACTGTATGTGTCTGTGCTGGTCAATATCAGTCATATGAAGGGAATTTCAAAACAGAGTGAACATTATTTTAAAAAACTATCACCTTTTCCCTACCATTTAAAACAGGGGTTCTCAATCTGTGGGTCGCGACCCCACGAGGGGTCGCAAGACCATTCTTGGGGGGGTCGCAAGATCATTGAGGACTTTGTGAAAACTAAAACATTGATCTTTTACTTTCCCTGGCAATTGTCAAAATACGGTTCCCTCTTCAATTGGTTGAAATAAGAAAAGGGTTAACACCTGAACTTCTAAACAAGGCCAGAGAAACAACAAGGCAACACCAGTTTGCCCTGCCTGGTTATGTTATGTGGGCCAATCATAGGTTTGGTTTGCAGTGTTTTCTGTTCTTTCAATAATTTAGCCTTTCCATAGGCCAATGCAGAATAGCTTGAAGCCTCGTTAATGACGAGCTAACATGAGTGCTGGCTTCGGAGAAGGGGGTCTCAGGGGGAAGCACGGTAATGGTAGTCATGCATATTTTCATCCAAACCTGTCTCGCCTGAGTTTAATTTGTGTACGCCTAGGCCCTGGCGTACATCTAACCCACGCCCAAGAGACATCACAGTCACTGTAAAAATATCATTATCACCGAAACTCCAATTCACCTTTATTGTCTCTTTGTAATTCCATGTAGGATTCAGCTTGTCATCTTTAATAAGATCATAGGCTTAACTGAGAAAAAAAATATGTACATTATAAAACCATGTTGTTGCGTGGCAGAACAATAAACACACAGGAAAGGCTATGTCAGGAAATTTGACAAAGGAGATAAAAATAAAGTTGGAAGAGAGAGAGAGAGAGAAATAGCATTAAAAAAAAGAATCCACACACAATTGAAGAAACACACTTATAAAGTTTGGCACAATAAAGATGGCACGGCTGATGTTAAGTGAGGCTAGTGCAAAGAAATTGCAGCAAGTTCCCATTTCAAATGATACTGTCAAGAGGCGTATTGCACGCATATCTTCAAACATTAAGGAACAGGTTGTAGAGGAGATCAAAGCTGCCCCTATGTTCTCGTTCCAGCTTGACGAATCAGTTGATGTGGCATCATGCTCACAGTTACAGTCTTTGTGAGATACATGTTTCAAAAAAAAAGATATGAAAGAAGAATTTTTATTTTGCATCCCACTGGACACCACAACAACAGCTGATGATGTCATGAACAAGGTATCCTCATTATTTGAAAACGAGGGTCTGAAGTGGAAGAATGTGTCTGGTATTTGTACTGATGGAGCCCCAGCCATGAAGGGATCAAAGTCGGGCTTTCAGGCAAAAGTGAAGGACAAAGTACCGCACGCAAAAAACATTCACTGCAAGATACATAGGCTTGTATTTGCTTGAAATAAGAGCGATTTGAAAAGTCAAAGGTACAGTTATTGTTCTGTATTAACTATGTAACGTAGGTCTTATTAATTGTGTGCTGCTTGTTTGTACGCATTTGGGGGGGGGGGGGGTTAAAGGGTTTGTTTATTACTTTATTTGGGGGTTGGGGGGGGGTTAAAGGGTTTGTTTATTACTTTATTTGGGGGTTGGGGTATGAGGGGTCGTTCCACTTGTCAAACAATCAAAAGGGGGTCGCGGATTGAAAAACAAGAATGAAGTAAATATGACCATATTTGACGAAAATACAGAACTTTTAATTGTGCGAGGTGAGGAAACACGAAAAGAAGAAAATGGCCTCCGAAGCTGAGCAACATGTTTCCATAGCAACGGGGGTCTTAGAATTGAGAAAGAGACTTGAAATTTTTATTTAGCAGTTATCTTGGCTATGCCTCTGCAAGGTAATATACGGAAGTAGAGAACTATTCATTTACAGAGATAAAAATTTATGGACAAAACAAAATTTTCATGAGAATGGAATTCACATCAAATGCCACAAAATATTAGCATTATGCTAGGTACCAGATGCTAAATTTTTAAAGTATCTGTATGTCAAATTCGTTTGTTTCATATGAAAGGCCAATGTCTCCTAAGAATTTTTGGTACCATATTTTTACCTCTCAGTCAATGTTAAAGAGAATGGCAGCTGGTTCAATTTGACATAATAATCAAATATTGCTGAAGTCACTAACTAGCTGCAACCCCATGATTAACAGATAATAAAAGAGTACCAAGTGCACCAAACATCTCTACATTAACAGAGTACAATCATTATAACAAAGAAATGAAGCCAATTTTTTTTCAAGACTGTGAGATCATTACAAATCAGTATTCTATTGCCTCAAGCACGATGATCTGTCGTTATTTCATTAATAACACCGAGCGTTTTCTCGGCCGGCACCGCACCGGTCCCCGCAGTGAGCGAGTCGGCTCAATGCTGTCGTGTACTGAGTTCTCCCCAGAGTTTCGCGGAAGGATTCGTGCAAAATAATTCTAAGCCAGTGACTTTATTCTAATAGAAAAAGAACTGTTCTTTCTATTGGTTCTTTTTTTTTAGCGAGTTAAAAATGATCTTTGAAAACTTACAAATTAGACGCTTTTTTTTTCTCAAGGTGTTCTATCCAAAACGTCAAAGGCCAAAAATAATAACCAATGGAAACCTCGCCCAAAGCTGTACAGTTCTCCGCCAATGAAAAGACGGTATTATATCATCAATCTTTCTGCAAAGCTTTCGAATGCATGGGTTTCAATATTGAACCTGCGACCTCGCATTCCGACGCGGGGGGGGCTTCCCTTTCCACGGCGATTCTCCAGCTCCAAATACTCGGATATGCAAACAACTCACACTATTGTAACGAAGAAAATCTGAAGTTTTTCAAAGTGTTCAGCATCAGGGTTGGGTTGATTTAAATCAGGTTGATTTAAATCAGTTGATTTTTTAAATTTAAATCAACTTGATTTTTAAAATAAAAATCAGTGATTTAAATCACTTTTTAAAAAAATTATTTTTATTCAGTTTTTACTTATTTCAACATTCAGAATTCCTTTCCTTGGTTTCATAAAAACAGATATAAGGTTTAGCAGACTAATATAATCATGCTTAAAAGTCTGCTTTCCACCCTTTCACTGTAAAATAATACAGTATTCAATTTACTTTTTTTTCCATAATTGAAATCAGAGCTGGGTTGATTTAATTCAATTGATTTTTTAAAATTTTAATCAACTTGATTAAATAAAAATCAGTGATTTAAATCACTTTTTTTTTTTTTTATGTACTCAGTTTTTACATATTTAAACATTCAGAATTCCCTTCCTTGATTTTATTAAACAGATATAAGGTTTAGTAGACTAATATAATCATGCTTAAAAGCCTGCTTTCCCCCCTGTCACGGTAAAATGTATTGTAATACAGTTCTCAATTTACTTTTTTTTTCATAATTGAAACAGGGTTGGGTTGATTTAAATCAGGTCGATTTAAATCAGTTGATTTTTTAAATATTTAAGTCAACTTGATTTTAAAAATAAAACTCAGTGATTTAAATCACTTTTTAAAAATGTATTCTGTTTTTACATCTTTAAACATTCAGAATTCCTTTCCTTGGTTTTATAAAACAGATATAAGGTTTAGTAGACTAAAATAATAATACTTAAAAGTCTGCTTTCCCCCCTGTCACTGTAAGTAGTAAAATAATCAGTTTACTTTTTTTTCATAATTGAAATTAGCATTTTCTTTTTCTTTTTAGACAAACACAAGCGCGCGCACACACACACTGTAATAAAATGCAAGTTTATCTATGCATAATTACCCCCCCCCCCCTTCCTTTTAGACTGACATTTTCTTCATTTTAAACTGTCTGTAGCCATAATTCACTGATATAGCAGATTAAGGCTTTCTAAAATTGCAGTTGCTTAAATTAATCATTAGTTAAAATAAAGACAATGCATTTTGCACTAAAAGAACATACTTTTAGCCACCAAAAATCCCAAACTGTCGACATTTTTTAAAAAATCCAAAAAATCCTATTTAAATTTTAAAAATCTTGATTTAAATTTTAAAAATCGATTTTTAAAATTTTTATTTAAAAAATTTAAAAAATCACCAACCCTGTTCAGCATTTGGTGTTTTATAGCAAAAGAGCAAAGGAACAGAGATCTGTATAACCCCCATTTCACGGAAATCACGCGCTCGGAAGGCAGCGGGTCGGCTTACATGCCGTGTTTACGCTAACTAATTATACGTTTGCAAGAGCACCATAAACACACGAGAGCGCACGCACACACACACATACACATTGCAACTGCATAAGGTCATATGAGTGCGTGGGACACACCTAATATTTTCAGTTGGTAGGAAATTTTGAATTTTGCCCGGGTGGCGGCCGAAGCCTACTCTTATCGATTTTAGACCACCAAGGGATCTTTAACGAGCGCAACTTGCACACGGGCCCTCCGAGATTTTTCGCCCTTGTCCGAGAAGGCTGGGTGTAGATCTTTCCTACCAGAAGATCAGGGGTGTGGCAGAAAAACAGCAGTAAGAAGAAGCGAAGGAGTAGCAGTAGAAAGGCTGCAGAAAGAATCAGGAGCCCAGAGGAGGGGTCAAAGGAGTTGAGGGGGTGGGGGCAGAAAATGGAAACGAAAGCAGACAACAGAACATTGCTAGAGAGCAGGAAAGGAGGTGAAAGGAGACAATTTTAGAGAAGAAAATTTTTCGGTCGCTACCCGGATCCGAACCCGGGACCTTTAAATAAGAGGCAAACACCTTCACCTCTAGGCCACGAGAGCCCCATGTATGTTTTTATGATTCTGCGTAGGAATCTGTTCAAAGGGCTGTGCTGAGATATAACGTTTTATGTCATGTATTTCCTTTTCTTGTATCGGATTACTGTGGTGCTGACTGTAGCGGTGGTGAATCCGTAGTTGTTCGTTACCCCGAGACAATTGGTGTGTGTTTTTTTTTTTTTTCTCAGGTCTCACCCAAGAGGAAATCGGAATAGCCGTGGAAAGATCTGGAGTGAAGGAGAACGTCGGCTCTGATGTGACAGCCGCTCAGGGCCCACCGCCAGGCTACCGGCCGGACGTCATGAATGGTGGCACAAGTATGGCGGTGGCTCCGATGTATGCACCAAGTGAGGGTTCAGTCCGTTTTTTTGTTGTTTTTTTTGTTTTTTGTTTTTTTAAATTCAAAATGTGGGGGGTTTTTGTGGTAAGTGTTTTTCACGGCGCTCGCTACAAGTGCACAAGGTCATCTGAACCCACGGCACACATTAGTAAACATATAACATTCGGTTTGGTAGGAATTAATTTTGAATTTTGCCCCGGTGGCGGCCCAAGCCCACTGTTATCAATTTTGGACCGCCAAGGGATCTTTTACGTGTGCAACTTGCGCACGGGACCTCCGAGATTTTTTGCTCTTATATATCCGAGAAGGCTAGGTGTTAGATCTTACCTACCCTTTGATTAGGGGTGTGGCTGAAAGACACAGGGTTGCCAGTTTTCCGGCAAAATTCGGAAATCCGGCTTTTTAAATTCCTCCAGCCCAGCTTTCGTGGAAAATTTCTGCAACCTGCAATGCAACTAATTTTTATGTATTTGCGACCGGTTTTTTTTACTTCATAGGGCCCCCTTGCCAACAGGGTAGCCACATTCCAATTTCGAAGGTATTCTATATGTTTTTATACTGATGAGAGTATTTTCAGTTTGGGTAGGAATTTTGAATTTTGCCTCGGTGGCGTAGAAAGTGGAAAAATGATTACAATATACAACTCGGTGAATCTGTTCACGAATGAATATCGCCGAACCAGCTGTTCAGATGCACGAAGGCCCCCCCCCCCCCCACCTCCCCCCCTTTTTTAAAATCTTTTTTTATCACAATTTCTTAATTTTTGGGTATGTTGACAGAAAGGAAGAGAAGAAGACATGTAAAATGTAGGTACAGTTGTTTAAAATGTAGGTACAGTTGTTTAAAATGTAGGTACAGTTGTTTAAAAGAATAAAACAGTTTCCTTTTCTCTCCTGAAAAAAATGTTACTTTCTAGGCTCAGAACATTTAAACAGCTTCCATACATGTTCCTCTTTAGGACAGGGGGGGAATAAAATGTGAGGCATCGGTGGGAAATCCGACGCTCGTCAGAATAATGAAATAGAAGAAATCAGCATTTTTTTCGGCCCGTTTTGTAAAATTTATTGGAATTTATTTATTTGTGGCTCAACACCTTTTATGTCCATTTAAAAGCAGATTTATGTGGGTTTTACTGAAAAATGTTGATTAAAGGCACACAAAATGTAAATTTGCAGTTTCCAAGGACTCTTGAGCTATGATGGGAGCCATTTTCCCCTAATTTTATCTCTGAAACCAGGCAACCCCAGTTCCTTCAATCTCAAATATCTCGACTCCTATGCGAGATAGATGGGTATTATTTTTTTTTTCCTTGAATAGCAAGGCAAATGTACAACCTTTAAGATGATACCAATAACTCCACAAGCCCAAAATTTGACGATCGCCTTATTTCCCCATGCCGACACCCAAATGATCAGTAGTTATTGTGTGGGGGCTCTCGTGGCCTAGAATTAAGGTGTTCGCCTCTCATTCAAAGGTCCCGGGTTCGAATCGGGGCAGCGCCGGAAAAAAATTTTCTTCTCTAAAATTGTCTCCTTTACTTTCACCTCCTTTCCTGCTCTCTGGGAATGTTCTGTCGTCTGCTTTCATCTCCTCTTTCTGCCCCCACCCCCTCACCTCCTTTGCCCCCTCCTCTGGGCTCCTGACTCTTTCTGCTGCTTTTTCACTGCTACCCCTTGGCTCCTTCTCACTGCTGTCTTTCAGCCACACCCCTGATCTTCTGGTAGGAAAGATCTACACCTAGCCTTCACACATACGCAAGGGTGAAAAGTCTCGGAGGGCCCGTGTGCAAGTTGCGCCTATTAAAGATCTCTTGGTGGTCTAAAATCGATAAGAGTAGGCTTTGGCCGCCACCCGGGCAAAATTCAAAATTTCCTACCAACTGAAAAAGTTTAATGTGTCCCGCACGCTCATATGACCTTATGCAGTTGCAAGCGCCGTAAAACACTTACCAAAAATACCCTGCAAAAAACAAATGTCTGGAGGATGCTCTGGTGTGGTTCGCTTCTTCTTTCCTGTCAAACATCTATCATCCTTTATAAATCTCTTCCTCTTCTTTTCTTTTCTTTGTATTTTACTTTCTATTGACACCTCTTGTCTTTGGCACTCAAATAACCCTATTTGCGTTGCAAATGCAGTAAAACTCTTAACTGAACTGAAACCACATGTCTGTGTTTTACAGTCCCCCCTCAGTCAGGCTGGGCAAAGATGAGAGACCTGACTATGACGACCGTTGTTGTGGCAAGTGTGTCGTACGCAGTGTACCAGCTGTTTCAGGTGAGAGATCAGCGAATGAAACGGCGGGATAAATTTGTACACATACACACACACACTCACTCACATGTACACACACGCACACACACACACACACACACACACCCCAGTACCATGAAAACTAAATAATCTGCCCGGTTAACACATGATGTGTAGTACATTGTCGGTGCAGTAGAACATGACTATAGCGGACCTTACCGCATTCCCTCTTTTTTTTATCTATGTAAACTCAATTATCTGTGCTTAGTTATAACAGGGCAAGGAAAGATCTGAACTTGGATACAGTGTGAGAGATTGAGCGAGCTCTAGCTGGGGGGGAAGGGGGTTGTTGGGCGGGGGGCTGTAGGTGGGCTCCAAACAGGCAGTCAGCGGTGTGGCGTTGTGATTGGCCAGTCCAGTGACGAGTGAGGTGGGGCAGGCGGCAGAGAGAGATGGTGCGGAGAGACGCGTTACGTGAGCCACTCCAAAAGTGATGTGTCGTGATGATAGCCCTAGGCCTAGGCTACGCCAAAAGACAGTAATAACAATAAGGGCATTTGTATCCCGCCTTTCCCCACAGCATGGGCCCAAGGCGTACATAGGAGATTAAAAACGCATTCATACTAACACCCTACAAATTCATCATGTGCGCACTTTTTGACAGCAACATTCTTTCAGACAATAAAAAATTCTCATACAAAAAGGCAAAGGTACTGTCCATTAAGTAAAATATTTCTTAAATAGATGTGTTTTGAGTCCCCTTTTGAAGGTATCAAGTTTTATTTCGCTCCTCAAATCATGAGGGAGAGTGTTCCAAACTGTTGGCCCTGAAAAAGAAAAAGCTCTCTCACCATATTTCTTCAGTGACACACGAGGTGTTGAAATTTAAAAAAAAAAAAGAAGAGGAGAGCGTGTAGTGTGTGATTTTTCGGTACTTCCTCTTTTCATTCCTCTAGCGGGAACTCGCCTGCTGCTGGATTTTTCATCTGGAACTAAAAGTCCCGCTGTAGCTAGGTTCTACTGAATACGGTTCTGCAGTAGTGCTGGGTCGCGAGCGCGAGAACGGAGCTGAATCGCCGCTCTTCCCTGCAGAACGCAATTCGCGATTCACTTCAGCGGAGAGCGGAACAGTATCGCCTTCCGATTCACTCCCCTGTCGCTGTCACCACCTTGCGTACTGCTGGGTCGCGAGTCGAGTCTTGAACGCAAGATCGGAACGGAACACTTAGTATGGATCCCCTTATTTTACAAAAGATGGTATAGTCCTACCCCCCTATTAAAACAAAATGAGCAGGTTCCAACCAATTGACAGAAGGGATTTTATGAGGCCATTATTTTAGCAAATCATGGGTTGGGGGGGG